AATTTAGTTGCTGCGATAGGGTTAACCACGCACTCCAGCCCACTGCCGCGCCTCCACGTTTCGCGGCCGATTGCGCACCATGCAGCGTGCTGTCATGTCGAGTTATCTCGACAAATGCACTGACAACATAATATTATGGCCAATTAGTGGCCGAAATTTATATGCAACCTGCAGTTTGAAACCCAAAAAGTTGCGGTTAACCATTTTTTGTGATTTTCTCTGTTGTTATTGTTCGCGCTTGCCGCGCTGGCTGAAACTGTAGGAACTTTTGAGAATTTTTTTCTTTTTATTTCTTAAATTTTTTCGCTGTTTTTTCGACACTTCTTTGCTTCAGGCATTTCTTCCTACCTTAATTAGCGCTTAATGCTGCAATTGTATGCAATTTTCCACGATTGCGTCGATCGCACAAAAACCTTCTGTTTGCTTTTCGTCGCTAATTAATTGCTCTATCGCGAGTGACCGTCTCGGCGTGCAATCGTGCAGGCGTTTTGTGTCGCAGTAGGTTTGTTTTTGGTTATGCGCTACAAGCAATTTCTGCCTAGTAATTTTATTTATATGCGTTTGAATGATATATGGTTGCACATACATACATATCGATTTCCATTTACTGCACATTTCAACTATTTGCACTATTTGCCACACCTCGTGGCACATTAGCCACATAGTTGACAATCAATTAAGTCAGTCAATGACCAAGTAACCCAATCCGTTAGAAAAGATATGTGCACAGCTGTNAGCAGTGCGACGGCCATGTGAGTTGCATGGGGAAGTAGCGTTTAAAGACTTATAGTGCGTAAGTATTATTATTATTGTGACGCTGTAACTGGGAAGGATCTAGAAGAAGCTATTTTAGATATTAACCCATTGGACTTTGCCAATTTTCAAATTTTAAATGGATAAAAAAAATCGTTCCCCAAGGTATATCATTCTATAGCGACTCATACCATCTACAGAAAGCCCCATTTTATTCAAATGGTAGCCTTACTTGCAGTGTGCAATCAGATAGACAGCATTTCAATGAGCCTCACAGAGGTGCTCACCCCAAAGAACCCCTTCTTCATGCTGATAGTACTGACAGCAAAGGCATCCATTGGACAAGTGCGTATATGTATCTCCTCTGAGTGATTGCCACGCAGACCAAGGAGTGTAGCTTGCTCAAAGTGGCATCCGCATTTCTTTGCTTAGCTTTTCGCCTGCAGGGCGGTGCCGCATATGTAACCAGAGGTTTTATGTCCGCATTGAAAGACCAATACGTTGGTTTGGGTGATATTCCTCAAGTTTTACCATGAAGTCTCTGCCAGGCATAAAACGCCCTTGTAGCCTTGTTGGTAATATTCGAAAGATGTGAATTCCAATTGAGCCTTTTGTTCAGAGTTATCCCTAGAAACTTTGTCCTTCTGAGAATTCAATTTCTGTCCGTTCCAAGGTGGATCTAGTCAAGTTGACTTTCCTCCTTTTGGTGAATGCGGCAATGGTGGGAGCGCAGTGGGTTTAGCTAAAATCCATTTGCAGCACACCAGTCTTCTGCTAATCTTACCGCAGCTTGCAATCTAGAGCAAATAGTGTTCTTATGCCAGCCAAGAACGTAGATGACTATGTTACCTGCAATGCCTGCTATGATAAAATGTGGTGTGTGGCCAGAAATTGCAGAGATTTAGACTTGGATTTTTTTTCAATGGCACAGGTGGAGCGCCACCGTTGCCTTTACTGAAGAGATGCTACAATGTTGAGTTTCCTGAGGCTGAGTGCTAGCTTAAGCCCAATACTGAGTCCGGGCTTACACATTGTAGAGCATTTACTGATGGCTCCAAAACTGTCGCTGGGTCGAGAGTAACGGGGACAATCCTCATTTCTCTCTTTGGATACCTGCCTTGCTCTTTGTGGCTATGATCACTTGTCCATCTGAGGCGCAAGAGGTCATCACAGGCATACCTACACTTTTCATATGTAGATATTTATTTAAAATGAGCTTATTAGAAAATTAGTGAATCTTGTCATAGCCGAATATAAACGACACAGAGAGTAGAGTATTTATGAACAAATTGTAGGTTAAGTATAATACATAATTAACACTTTTATTTCCATAAACTGAAAAACTCAAATCGTAATTAAAGCACGGAATGCAGTTTTCTTACATATGAGTTTAAAATGTAAAAAATATTCAATGTAAGATTATATTTTTATGAAAAACGTGAATATTGTGTAATTTTATGAATTTATCAAGTAAAATTCTAAATTTCCAAATATATTCAAGTATTTATTCCAAAAAATAAGGTTTGTATAGTTATAGAGACTCCAATGCCAGCCAGTGCATCCGCCCAGACCGTTCATTATGGACACCCAAGTTTGAGCGACCATTACCCGGAGCTCCTCAAAAATACTTAACATTAATGGTCCATTACCCGGAGCTGCTCCAACGTGATGAGCACATTTTAGTGAGCCTCACATGCCACTGCCTCTCGCTACAAGCTGGAAGAAATAAATAGCAATTATCTATTAAAATTATAAGAAAATTTGCCTGTGCCACTCTGCCATAGTACTGTTGTTGCCACAGTAATTTTGTAAGCAACTCTGAATCAGCAAAATTCATACTCCTTCTCATTATCAACCCTGTTCAGATTTTATCCCCGAGAAGTAATAAAAAAGGTGTATTACTGTATATACTGCATTGTGTACTTCTGATCAACGGAACAGTTGCATGTTTGATGATCGTAATGTTTTTCTGGTCATTTTAGACAACATGTTGGTGTGTACCTTTGAGAGTTGAATTAGACAGCTGATGTATCAAGCCGTCCAGAAGACACATAACGATCACTGATTTTTATTTTTTAGAAACGGTTGCGCTCAACTGCTGCGCCTTCTCAACCTACCCAATTCAAAGTCAAACTCATAGCTTTTCCACTAGTACAGTCGGTAGCAATTAGTCCACTTTAATTAGTGATTTCACTCATGAAAGGTAGCTGGTGAATTGACTCGGCTGACGTATTCAGGGAACTCATGTAATGTGATGAACAGCATTACAGGTAACCTGGTAGCTCCAGTGAATTCACTAGTTCCCCACTGGTGCGTCGTGTTCAACGTTCGCTGAGTTACCTAGTCCATTAGTTAAATTATTCTTAAATTACATAAATGTTACAATCAATTACACAATTTCTTAAAAAGTAAAATATTTGAAATTGAGGGTATAAACATTAAAAAAAAAGATTTGTCAAGGGAAATAAGAAAAGCCCAAGAAGTTAAGAGTGAAGAACTTTTAAGTAGAGCACATATACCAGAGAACTTGTAAAGCGAAGCGCACATTGGCGCGATTCTGTCGTTGCGAATCCGCAAGCCCAAAAATTACAACAATGCTACCCATACATTTTAATACGCTAGCGCACACTTGCACGATTCCGTCGCTGCGAATTTTTCGAACATTCAATGTTCCTCTTTATTGACGCGTTCGAAACGCGGCTTGCAGCGTTTTGAAGGCGTCAAAGAAGAAGAAGAAAGGTGTCACAGCAATAAAGGCAAAGAAAAAAAAACGTGTAATGTACAAAAACTAATAAAAACGTTCGTAATAATAGTATTTTGTACGATTTGGGCACGCCGAGTGCGAAAATACACGAAATAAAGGGAAAATTGAGTGAATTGTACATCGGAAATCGACGCGAAAAAATCGCTCAAGTGTGCGCACGTTTGCGGATTCGAAGTTAACAGCCGAATTCGCAACGTATTCGCAACGATGGAATCGCTCTAATGTGCGCTTCGCTTTATACAACCCACTGGGAAAAGGTAATGTCTGGGAATGCAGAACGTAATGGAAGGCCTAATGGAAGTAACCTACGCACGAAAATATGCAAAATTTCTCCACAGCGATGTTATAAGAAAGTAATGTGTGTGTGAATTAAAAAAAAATAAATATTAAATAAAAAATAAAGTCCGTGCCACAGATTTTGAACCCGTGATTAACAACACGGCAGTCGAACACGCATCCATTCGAGCACAGCAGCTGCCGAGACAACGAGAAAAAAAATACTTGAGTTAGTTTTCAAAGTTTTTGTTTTGTTTTTGGCTTCAAAACTACACATCATCCGCTCGCTTACACTTTTCGAACAACGTAGGTAATGCGTATCCATTTTCACTGGGAAGTTCTGTGCTGGAAATAAAAAAAAACGGTAATTTCCAAATAATTTATTCACAGCCAAGTCATGCACCACCTTCATGAATACAATTTAAATTTGGCAATGCCAAGGAAAGGAAAATCCAAAACAACTTTGGCAACTAAGATAGTGATGTCAAGGGCAAAAATTAATCGATGTTTTTCCTCGTTTCGACGCATCGAAACTTCTTAATGAGGGTTATAATCCCTAAGTGCGGCCGAAGGCCGCCTACGCAGAAAGGTGTTCTATGCAAAAGGTGTTCGGCCCCTTTTCTTTGGCAACACAGAAAGGAGAATTCTACTGCCTGAGGGTTATAATCCCTAAGTGCGGCCGAAGGCCGCCTACGAAGAAAGGTGTTCAGCCCCTGATCCCCTTACTATTTATTTTAATCTGAACAAAATAACCTTTTATCGTATTTTCCTTTTAATCGTATTTTCTTTTGCTCTTGCTTTCCACTCTTGGTTTTTTACATATGGCAACACAGTCCTACTGCCATTTGTACATATTCTGCATGTACTCTCATAAAGTTAAACAACAATCAATTTTTTATAAAAAAGCTGTAATATACTAAAAGTATTTATTTGTTTGAACGTGCACACTCTAGCTGCGCATATATTGAGTGTAAATAACGTGTAAATTTAGTGGAAAGTGCATTATATATTGTGAAATAGTCCCATACAAGTTGGCGAAAATTACAAACTTTAATAACAAATTACTTCAAAACTATAAAGTTGCGCGCTTTGAAACTTTACATACACCCCCTTTAGAACCCCCTCTACCACCCCTATTTTCCTTAATTCCGTAATCGGGGGTTACCATTCTAAAATTTTCCCCAGAATTTTTCCGGCGCTATGAAAATTAAACAACTGCACAACCGTTTTTTACGCATTTAGATGAGGATTCTCAGATTATCTTCTAAATAACCAAAAAGAACAATCCAAACGATAACATTTGTAGGAAGCAAATAATCGATATTTTCTATGCGCCGATGTTTTTTCGAAATTCCTATTAAATGTTTGTCGTTTTGCGAAGGTCATTATTTAACAATTGCAAACAAAATCTAATTTGCAAATCATTTGCCGGTAGGGAAAGTTCGCGAACAACAGCACAGCAAAATCGCAGTCGATTGTTATTAGCAAATAAGTGGACAACAAATTACAGCACTTCTTGCAACATGTCAAAATCAGCGCTAGTTATCCTCGCACCCGGCGCTGAGGAGATGGAATTTGTAATAGCCGCTGACGTTTTGCGGCGTGCCGGGGTAAGTGAATGAGCGCCCGTATTTGTCTTTAATCTGAGCTATTTTTAAGTGCATGCCACTTTTTCTTCCCCACCCCACCTTCCACATACGTATGTGTGTATGTACATATGTACGTAGATTAAGGTTACCATTGCCGGTCTGCTCAGTGCGGACGCAGTAAAATGCTCGCGTGACGTTTGCATTGTACCTGACACATCGTTGGAGTTGGCAAAGGGCGGCATATTCGATGCAATTGTTCTGCCTGGTGGCTTGGGTGGCGCTAAGGCTATGTCGGAGAATGCAGCTCTGGGTGCACTGCTCAAAGAACAAGAAGCTGCTGGACGTATTGTGGCAGCCATTTGCGCTGCGCCCACGGCGCTTCTGGCGCACGGTATTTGCTCTGGCAAGAGTTTAACTTCGTATCCCTCTGTAAAGGGGAAACTGGATGGTACATACAAGTAGGTGCATTAAAATAATTTTTTTTTTTTTTTTTTGAAAAAGTATTTAAATTTTTAATTTATTCCACAGATATGTTGATGATGAGA